GTATGCCCAGATGCATTATCCAACTCTCTGATTGACGAAGTCTGGTTCTGACTCTGCACTACTTCTGTTTTAGACATTCCTTTGTTAGACATACCTCCTGCAACGTTTAAGTTTGACTTAGAAGGCTCTAAAGAAATAGAAGTAGCTTCCTTGTCGGCTGTTCCATTGTCCTGAACGTAACTGGCACATCCATCCGATGCATTATTATTTCCATGGCTTATAATCTCCACCAGGATCTAACCAAAATAAAGAGTGAAAAGGTTTCAGAAGGTTCTGATCGAAAAACTAAATTTAAGAAAAAAGGGGTTTCAGTAGGCAATAAATGCTCGTAAGATATTCAATTGTACAAGAGATTCCACAAAATCTAATAAATCTTGCAAGAAATTTGTGGTTGTTAAAGATTTTAGCCAAATGTATGTTCAAAACGTATCATGTGATCATCACATTTCCAGGATGTCACAAGTAACATTGATGGAAATACAGGAATAACAGTTTTTGCCAGCTGAAAGTTGAAATGGCCACAAGATCCAATCGGGTAACTCCACATAAACAAGACATTACGAAAAGACAAGATTATGAATTTCCGATACTCTCTTAGATGATAAAAAAATAAATTGAATGACCAATATTTGCAACCCAGATACCAATACCTACAGTCAATAAGCATCAGAATAATAATTTGAATTCACAACTCAGTGTACATCCTCCAAATTTCCATACAAACTTATCCTGACATACTCTTCAACAAATTGACTTACAATAATTTACTGAGCTTAATCAATATTTTGACTAATGTATGGATGAAAATTCAGAACTAAGTAGGGACAAAGAGGGGGATCAGATCAGCCAACAAAAACAATCCCCATCCCCCCCCAAAAAATACTCCTCATTGAGAAAGGTCAAGGATGGGAATGGGAATATGGATTCCCCATGGAAAATTTGTAAGGAGACAAGAACATTATGAAGAAGTATAATTTACTTTAAAATAAAATTTTAATTAAATAATTTCATATAATGGTATTATTTTAAGCTTTTAATATAAAGTAAACACGGGTCATTTAATTTGAAACACATATACGTATAAATTTCTATTATAGTGTGCATTAAAAATATCATTGTCAGCTAATATTAATAAAACATTAATTACAAAATAATAAATTGGGAATCCTGTTCCAATCCGTGAAATGAAGACAAAAATAGATATAAATCACGTTTATTCCAAATTGTCGATCAAAATTTAATGAAAAGAAAATTTATTTTCCAAGAAAAGTAGTTGTGGTGGATAGACTTACATCCTGATCCATCTGAAGGTTTGCATCATCTAGAGTTTTATCCATGTCATTCATCAAAGCATGTTTTCGGTGGCCATAGTAATCCCAAATGCATACCTAGTTAAAGTAGTGAATAGTTGGATTTAAATGAAACAACCATTAAAAAACTGAACTCCGGATGTTGTAAGGTCATATGAATTTACTTGTTCCAAGTTAAGACCAAAAATTTCACAAGCTCGTCTGTGAAGCTCACCAATTGTCTCCTGCCAAATAAATATGAAATTTTAAATAAAACCAACTGATAAAAAATGAATCACATGTCTCAATAGAACTGAAACAAGGGTAGGTACTTAGGAAAGTGGTATACCATGACAAGTTCTCATAATACCTTCTTGCTTATTCTCATTGTGGAGCGGTCACCCTTTGGCACCTCTAATAATTGAAGGCGTAAGGGATATACTTCAACGGCCAATTCAGTTTGAGAAAGACCTGCACTAATTACCTTCCGTGCCAATGTTGGACCACCGCCGTACCTAAAGCCAACCAAAAGCTTTGACTAACTTATAAAATGATTCATGTAGATTTCCAACCATAAAAGAAGACAAGATTAAAGAATCTCAACAGTTAGTTATTTTCTTAAAAGAAAAAAAAAGTTAATAAAAAATAATATCTATATCATGTAAAATTGGCCTGAGGGGATCCACCTTTCTTGATGTATATTTAGTCTTACAAATAGATTTTTTCCCCCTCATTTGATTAATAATTATCATACTGTTTAACATGTTTGATATCAAATATCGAAACAATATTCCACCAAGTAAACTTACATCACATTATTGACTAAAGATAGAGTGAAAAATTTTAGAATACCTCTCGTGATACAGTGAAGTAGGATTTCCATCCATAAAAGAGACAATATCAGAGAATCTCAACAGTAGGTTATTTTCTTATAAGAAAAAAAGTTAATAAAAAATTGTATCTATATCATGTAAAACTGGCCTGAGGTGATCCGCCTTTCTGAATCCTTCTCGGGTGTCTTCCGTCTTGAATAAAAAAATTTCCCTCGCTTCATTAATACTTATCATATTGTTTAACATGATCTTTGATATCAAATATCAAAACAATATTCCACCTCAAAAACTTACAATACAATCTTCTAATGCTACCAACAAGAGTTAAATATCTCCATTCATCCAATCTCTCAACAAATTATACATCAAAGCCTCCCCGAAACTTTCTTTCCTTCGATTGCCTCCCAAGAGAATACTAAGGTAAGAAAAAGGCACTGTCTCGGAAAATAGGCTGTCAATTTATTCCTTCCAGAACCTCTCCACAATATCTATGGAGTACGATTTTTCTGAAGAAACTCACTGTTTCCTCTTCTACCTTTAAATCTTCCACCAACCTTCAACATTCTCAGCCAACAGTGCAATAACAACAATTATCCTTGCTGCCAACATTCTATAAAGAGATATTTGCATTTTATCCCCTCTTTTAACCAAGAAATTTTACTCATTTTCTAAATTATTTTTTCTCCATAACAAACCTCCAGGAACTTCTGTTTCAGCAACCCCTTTTTCTCCCTCTCCACCATAGATAAAACTCTCTCCTCTTCCTCTAAGTTGAGTAATTCTACTTTTTTCCATGTGTCTTCTTCTTTGTCTTATCCCGCTATTTTTTAACTCCCAAGTTTTCAAGATATCTTTCAACTATTTTTTGAGTCTGGAACCTGGCCACCTATGCACAGAACACTTGCCCACCAAAATTTGAAGTTCTCAGCAAAATCCAGCTATGATGTTCAATCATTTACAACCAAAAAAGGAGCTTAAGAGTTTTCTCAAATAAGTGCTATGGATTAAATTATCAAGGGCCATCCTTTGGCTGACTTAGAAAGAGAGGAACTCAAGAGTTTTCTCCTATAAGAATTATTCTCTAGATTATTTTTGGGATCTTGTACAGTTTACAGCCTCGAATTAGAGTCCAGTCCCAGTCCCCAACTTTATAGTAATTACTCCATCCATGCTGAGGGCTTCAGCAAAGCTAAAGAAATAAAAACAAAACAAAACAAATGAAATCGATGTTTCTATGACCGAAAACCTTTTCTGAACTGATCCACCACAAGCGATATTCTATGTTGTAGCTGAAAGACCAGGTTTAAGAGCTTAGTTTGTTAGAATGGACACAGTGCTTTGACTAGGAGTTATTTCATTTACTATTATAAAAATCTACTTTTCAATGGCCAAAATCCTTTTTCCTAATGACTCACCACAAGTATAGTTGGTTCCACACTTCTTGCGGAAGCAGAACATAATCACGACCTTCCAAAAGAGTATCGTGAATTTCAATGCCCATACCAGAGTCCTCTGATGCAGCATCGTAAATTAGGTCAGAGTTATCAATAATAGCTGGTCTTTTTAACATGCTTGAACCAAATGAATCGTAAATTTCTGCGAAGGAGGATCCATCGTTTGCACCACCAACCGGTTGGTCTTGGTTGACATATTCAATCCAGTGTTGCCACCATCTGTCACCACAATATACAATCATCAGAAAATGTCTATCAGCTACCTGGTTGAGAGGTAGAATCTTATACCTGAATGTTCATGAATATGCCGACTCTTAAGGACATTGCACACAAGCATGTTTATCAAAAACCATAGTAAGATTTTCTTGAACCAAAACAAAACATTTCACTTTCATTTTATTGCTCCAGCTTACTCCCACCATATCACTAAGACCAAAACTGTTACCTCTGAAATTAAACAGCAAGCCTATGACATTCAATCCCCCAATGGAAAAAGAACAAAGCTTGGGCCTAGAAGGCAACACAATGAAATTCTTTATAAATGGTTAGAATTTCACTAGAGGCGATAAAAAATATCACATTAGTCCCCCAGATAGCAATACATATACATATTGGAGGTAGCAAAAATGAACAAAAGCAGGGAGAACCCAAAAGGGGGGGAAGAACAACGACAACAGAGTAAGGGTCGATAAGAAACGTTTCTAACACAAATTGTGCAAAAAAATTATAAGAAAAACGAAGGAAATCTAGCAAGAACCATAATATCTACGGATTTAAGAGAAAGTGTGGGAGGAAGAACCTTTGAGTGATTAAATAGAAGACATCACCCTCTTTAGTATTAGCTTCAGCAGCCAAAGCAATGTCCCTGATCATAATCCTCTCTTCCTCTGGAGTGAGCTCCGTGCTGCCACTACTGCTACACATGGAGACTTCAGCCATCTTCCCGCCCCTTTCCCCTGAGATCGAAAAAAAAAAATGCTTCGACTTCAAGGAAGAGCTGGATTTTTGTTGATATTCCTCAGTAACCAAACAGATGAGCTAAACTAATTTTCTTTCATTTTCAAAGAATATGGCTCCACAATTCAACCCGTCTCCTGCCGGTTACCCAAAACCCTCGTCCGATGACGAAACCAGTTCTGACTTATGAGCAGAGAAGGAGCAACGACGAATCAAATTTAACTCAGACCGGGTCCATAAGTTTTCTTTTTAAGCCGGGTTCATGACATAACCTAAATTACGATTTTAACCTTTTAAGTGGATTGGATTAATTTTAGAAATATTTAAAAATTATATTTAGTTATATTAATAATTAAAATACGATAAAACTCAAATATATTTTACATTTAAATATTTTTAATTTTTTTAAAATTAAAAAATAATAATAATAATAATTTGCAAACCGACCCCGAAATTTTGGTTTTTTTCAGTTGCATCCATGAACGTACAAAGAACGGATAAGGTGCGGTGGGACGTGGACGATAGACTGAGCTCTGTTCGCCATCATCCTTCACCGGTCTCAGTTTTCTTCGCCCTCTGCACTATCTGAAATGGCGTCAGCAGCATCTGCATTTGCGATTTCACCATCACTCCCGACCGCAAGCTGCCGGAAACCTAAGAGGAAACCTATTTCCCCGGCGATTTTCTGTCAACGGGGTTCCCAATTCGGGCATCGAAGGGAGATTTTGAAAGGCCTCACTCTGCTTCCTCTTTCGCTTCCTCTTTTCGAATCGGTTCATCCACTTTCTTCTGAGTCGAAAGAGATCGAAGTTGGTTCGTACCTCCCTCCTTCTCAGTCAGACCCTTCTTTTGTGTTCTTCAAAGCTTCCCCCAGGGACACCCCGGCTCTTCGTGCAGGTATTGTTACTTATTTCTCCATTTCTTTTGTTCTCTGGTAGATTGTTTATCGTCCCATTAGAATTACATAACCATGCAAAAGGATTGTTGGGAGGGAGTCCATATCGGCTAAGTAAGGAGATAATCATGGATTTATAAGCAACGAGTACATCTCTATTGGAATTGGGATGAGACTTTTTGGAGAAACAAAAAACAAAGTCATTAGAGTTTAGGTTCAAAGTGAACAATATCATACATGGAGAATTGCAATTCCTAACATGGTATGAGAGTCGTACCCTTAATTTAGCCACGTCTAGAATCCTCAAATGTCGTTTAAAGAAGTTGTGAGCCTCGAAAATGTAGTAAAAAAGTGACTCAAGTGTCGAGCAAAGGGTGTTCTTTGTTCGAGAGCTCTGGAGAAAAGAGTTGAGCCTCAATTAAGGGAAGATTGTTTAAGGGCTCCATAAGCCTCAAGAGAAGCTCTATGGTTGTTCGAGGGGAGGATTATTGAGGAGTGTTGGGAGGGAATCCCACATCGGCTAATTAAGGGGACAATATCATATCATTACAGAGAGTCGTAATTTAGGGAATCGCATACATTATTATTAGTTTCAGTTTCGGTACTTTTTGCATCTTCTAGAGATCAGGCTGGCTGTGAACTAAAGATGCCAATTATCTGCCTGTGAGCTGCTTGCAATGATGTCTTGAATTCAATTGTACATTCATCAGTATTTCATAATTAGAAGACATGTTCGTGCAATCAAAATTGGACACGAGGATACCTAGTTTGTCAAAATATAGCTCACTCGATCGAAGATTTGGAAGTTCAAATTCTCTCAGCCAACTCCCACATTTTGTTGAACTGAAAGAGGAAAGAAAAAAACATATGCTATCTAGGACGGATGCACAAAGTATATTATTGGTTATACTTGTCTTTCTTGTCACACTCTACTAAGTTGTGAAATGATTTATAGGCTAATGGTACTTGAGATTTAGTTATTTGCAGGAAATGTGCAGCCATACCAGTTCATTCTGCCCCCAACTTGGAAACAAACGCGTGTAGCAAACATTTTATCTGGTAATTACTGTCAACCCAAGTGTGCAGAGCCTTGGGTAGAGGTGAAATTTGAAGATGACAAGCAAGGGAAAATCCAGGTAGTGGCTTCCCCTTTGATACGTTTGACTAATAAGCCTAATGCTACAATTGAAGACATAGGTAGCCCTGAGAAGGTAATTGCTTCCCTTGGCCCTTTTGTCACTGGAAATACATACGACCCCGAAGAGCTCCTTGAATCGTCGGTCGAGAAACTTGGTGATCAGACGGTATAATCCTCGTGTCTTGTACATTATTTTTCTTTTCGCTCAAAGTACAATAATGCCATGTCTTTGCCTAGCCTCCATTCTACTCTTTAATAAAAAATAATGTTTTAAAATCTAGCTCAAATTGATGTTTTTTTTAACATGACTTTTCATATCGATATGGGCCATCCAGTTAATTTATATCATGGGCCTCCAAAAGGGATGGATTATGAGATTCCACATCAGTTAAACTGGAGAACAAAGCAATTCTTATAAGAGTGTCGATCAAGTTGATTTGTACTATCTAGCTAGGATTCCACTTAGACTATAGCAGCTCTGAAGCTTGCCATGTGCCTTACATGCCCCTAACTTGTAACATTACATAGGGAAGATAGGTAATTTACTCTTAGCAGCAGGACACTGTGATGGTGAATACTTATTACAACCTTCTTTTATCTCGTTGATGCAGTATTACAAATACACACTCGAGACTCCTTATGCTCTGACGGGTACACACAATCTAGCTAAGGCAACGGCGAAAGGAAGCACGGTTGTGTTATTTGTGGCCAGCGCCAATGATAAACAGTGGCAGGCATCTGAGAAAGTTTTGAGAACCATGCTTGATTCTTTTCAGCTGTAATCCCCCAACACAAAATGCAAATGAGAGATTATATTCGATAATATATGCTTCCATCTTCACATATAGTGAAGAATGTTCTTTGAGTTCTTCAATGTTCTTGTTGGCAGAGCATTCTTTAACATTATTTAATGGGTGTTCTTTTTATTGGACTGGTATGTTCTGAATCTTGGCTGGTATTATCTGATGTTGATAATGGATGTTTTTATTGAATCATTGAATAGAGATTTTACGCATTTTACAAAATTGAATTTGGAGTTTTCCGGTGAAAGAGTGGGCTATTGTATATGTTTAACTTCAAGGCTTTTCCTTTCGGACTTCATCTCAAAGTTTTTGACGTGTAGAGGTTTCTACGCCCTTATAAAGAATGTTTCATTCTCCTCCCCAATCGGATCTCGCAATTCACCTGGGCTCAACATCCTCGCTGGCACTTGTTCTCTTATCCAATCGATGTGAGACCCCTCAATCCACCCCTTTGGGGCCCAGCGTCCTTCCTGGCATACTGCCTCGTGTCCACCCTTTTTGGGGTTCAACCTCCTTGCTGGCACATCGCCCGGTGTCTAGCTCTGATACCATTTGTAACGACTCAAGCCCACCACTTGCAAATATTGTCCTCTTTTAGCTTTTCCTTTCAAACTTAAAACGTATATGCTAGGGAGAAATTTCCATACCCTTATAAAAAATGTTTCGTCCTCTCCAACCGAGGGGATCTCGCATCATCCTTTCACGCTGTTGTCAAAAACTAAGAAATTCTTCTGGCCTGGGTCAAGTTTTGTTCATTACTGAACATGTTCCTAAGATACTATTCCTTCAATAAAACCGAAGAACAAGTTCAACTAAAAATGGATTGAGTCATTCATTTATCATATATGTCTTACTAAAATAATTCCACTACTAAACAAATAAGATGGTTCATCTCTCATCTTAAAACAAGATTCTCATTTCCAACTAGTCTATCAGAACTTCAAACAAGAACTCCATTCCATCATTGGCATTAAAACTCAACAAATTCAAGTGCTTTTGATGCATGTTCAGCTCCTCTCATATCCAAGTCCAGTTGGTTAAGTTTTGAATAAATCTCACAGGATTTAGGATGAGTAGCATCACCAACTGAGAAGACATGCGCTTTCTTATCTATCTCAATCCAGCTCCACCCTGCACTTTTCCTTACCCTTTTTTGTTGCATCTGATTTCTAATATCAGCCAACTGTGTCCATAAACCAGCTCTAGCATAGATATGAGCAAGAGTTACATAGGGTGCAGCATTACCTGGATCCATCTCGATGAGTCGATATGCTACCTCCCTCCCAAGCTCGACCTCTACATGAACTTTGCAAGCACCTAAAAGGGAACACCACATTACGTAATTAGACTCATATGGCATTTTCTCCATCAATTCCTTAGCTTTTTCTACATGCCCATTTCTGGCATAGAGATCAATCAAACAAGCATAATGATCAATTTGAGGATCTAATCTGTATTCACTGCCCATTTTATTGAAGTATTCAACTGCCTCATTTAGTAATCCTGCATGGTTGCAGGCAGTTAAAACTGCAGTAAAACAGACATGATCAGGCAAGAAACCTTCTTCAGTCAACAAACTCTCAAAGAGCTTTAAGGCATCTGAGCCTCTACCACATTGAGCAAAAGCCATTATCATCGAAGTCGAAAGCACACTGTTCTTCTCAACCGTCTGATTGAATATGATAAATGCATCATCAACACTGCCACATTTCGAGTACATATCCAACAAAGAACAGACCACAAACACATTATTCTCTGATCCCATTTTTGTAACTAGAGAATGCACTTGCCTTCCTTGTTCAAGTACTGTTAGACTCCCACAAGCATTTAAAACACTAGTTAATGTATGATCAGTTGGGCTCAAATTACTAGCTCTCATCTCTACAAACAGTTTTAATGCCTCTTCCCCATACAAGTTTTGAGAAAACCCTGATATCATAGAATTAAATATGACATTGTCCTTCACATTTGCCTCATAAAAGAGCAGGGCAGCTTCTTCTATTCTTCCTAGTTTTGAGTAACAATCAATAGCGGAGCTAATTACAAAACTGCTAAAAAAAAGAAAACCAAGTTTGATAACATGAGCATGAAACAAAGTTGTAAGATGAATCGGAAGTTCATCCTTCAGACTTGGGCATGAACTAATAACAGTGGCATAAGTAAAACAGTTGGGTCTATCCTGAGTTACCAACATATTCTTAAACATCAAGATGGCTTCCCTCCCAGCCCCATTTTGGGATAGCCCAGATATTATAGAGGTCCAAGAAACTTGGTCATGAGTCTTCATATGAACGAAGATCCTTTTTGCATCCACAATGGCATTACACTTGGAGTATAAATTAACCAGTCCACTGTTCAAATATAAGTTATCTTCAAATCCTATTTTGACAATCTGCGCATGAATTTGCAGACCCAAAAACAAATTAATTGTTTTAGCACAAGAATTAAGAGCAGAGCAGAGAGAATACTTGGTCAATTTCGCTCCCAAGCTGCACATTCTGCAAAGTAACCCAGTGCTTCAGAGGCATTAACACGGTTGCCAAATTTCCTTTCCTTTCCGCTGAGATTCTTGTGCGGACGAAAGTTGATAGTATCATAGCAAGATGCTCGTAACATTTGAAATCCAATGGTTGCCTGGAATTCCCTGGATTTCAGCTCGCCGGAAATTATAAACAGACCAAAGAAAGAGAAATTGCCGATCGCGGCCGAAACAAAGTCGGACCATAGCAAACAGATAATGGAAAACTCAACATCAGTTGATCATTCCTACTCGGAGAAATGCTTCCCGACTGGAATTTTCCTCCGCCGAAGAACGGTGCAGTCGGGGGCTTCGAGTAATTAGGTCTCTCGATATCACTTTGTACTGATTCTTCTCCACTGTGACGGCGATGAGGGTTTCCAACGTCGGCGATGAGGGTTTATTTTCTTCATTTTTTCTTTAAAAAAAAATAATAAATAGTGTTTTAAATATAATTTGATTTTTTAATTTCATCCCTAATTTAATCAAATTATTTTTATAAATGTAATTAAAGAAATACTACGGAAAATATTGTATTTCCTAAAAATACTCCTCGATGATTTTTATTGTATATGATAATAATTAATTTAGATAATGACCCTTTAATTCATCATTATTCATAATAATAATAATAATTACATTTTTATTTATAACGACAGTAAGGGTCGTGTAGATTCAAAGCAACTACAAGAACAAAGAACAAATATATTCACGTTTCAATTGTAATAGTTTGTCATCGTTATCATATGTGAGAAAGAAGGAAGTTTTCACACCTTTGTAAGGAGTGTTTCGTTTATAATCTCACAATCCACCCCTTTGGAGGCCCAGCGTCCTCGCTAACACATTGAGCGGTATTTGACTCTAATACTATTTGTAACAGTTAATAATTTTTTTCATCGTCATGAAACTAGTAGATATTTTCCTCTAATACTATTTGTAACAGTTAAAACGCGTCTGTTAAGGGAAGGTTTCAACACCCTTACAAAGGATGTCTTATTCTCCTCCCCAACCAATGTGGGACATCACAATCCACCCCCTTTTGGGGCCCAGCGTCCTCGCTGGCACTCTTTCCTTCCTCCAATCGATGTGGGACCACCCCCAAATCCACCCCCATTTAGAGCCCAGTGTTCTTACTGGCACACCGCCTCATGTCTACCCCCTTCGAGAAACAGCAAGAAGGCTGGCACATCGTCCGATGTCTGGCTCTGATACCATTTGTAACGACCTAGATCCACTGCTAGCATATATTGAAAAATCATAAATTGTTGTGATATTCTAATGCTATCATTTTTCTTTAAATTAGTACACACATCAAAATTAAAAGAAAATACAAACACAACCAACCAAAACCTGAAATCCAAGTAATTCCCTATCACAGAATACATTAGTCGTTGCCCGAACACAAGCGTTTTACTGTGTCTTACAAATCCTTCATCAAACACTAAACCAACCCGGTTTTGATTTGGTCATGCGAGCAGTACTGGCAGGTTCATTATTGTCGATGCGACGATTGTTTCGAAAAGCTGCATAGCCAATAACGTAAGAGACGACGAGAACAATCAAAACGATGATGTTGACGACCGAGACCTTTCTCCAGCTCTTCTTGAGATTGGCTAGAACCCCAGCCTTGCAAGAGTCACAAGCATAGCAAAGTTGGTCTTGGTCATTGCTCCACCTGCCACAGTCAGGCTCGCCGCCCACCACCCCTCCTCCCACATCCCACGCCGTCTCGTTCACATATACATATCCGCAAACTGTGGGTGGCTTGCAGCAACCAGACTTCACACATATAGCAACCAAGATAATGAATGATATCATGTTTCAAGAAATCAAACCATAACTTAAACTATTTCAATCGTTGTGTATGTTCATGGGTCTATTCGTTGTGTCGTTAGCTCTGATTCTATTTGTGTCGCCATAGATATCTTTCAAACACCTCGTGTCAGTACTTAATAATCCATGACTCGAGTCAATGTTAGTTGTATTTGTAATCGTTGGAAGAACTCCATATTGCATTGACTATCAACTTTTCTTTTGTTCTATCATTTCAAGTATATCATTGTAGCTTTTACGGAGGAAGGTACTCTATTTATATAATCTAAAAGATTACAAGATATGGGTCAATAAACTATGTTCAATAATCACAATCGTGCCTATCGTCTACTAATAGAGACTAAAAGTATATCATTCAAAATATAAGTGTCTCAAGAACACGATGATCAGGATCTAACAATCTCGATACGTTTTAAGTGAATAGGTTCGATACCACAATTCTAAAATTTGGTCCCACGATTCTTTTTCTACAATGGATAAGGTTCTAATTTCATTTTTCCTAAAAGATCGTTTTCTAGCTACAATGGACCGACCATGTGAATATGCATGCACCATACGAATATGCATGCACGAACCAAAGGAAAAGAAAAGAATAAAATAAAATAAGAATATTCATAAGAGAAAAAAAAAGGCACTTTTTTGCAATACAAAAGAGAGGAATATAATAAAGTTTTAGGATACTTTTATATTATTCTCTTTCCACTCTCTCGGGATCTCTTGAAATGGTTTAAAATATTCTACATTATCTATTATTTTGTGTGAATATGTACGTCTACATTTTTT